GCGCGAGGGGGGGCGCGAACATTTTTCTTGTAAAACAAGGGGGGCCCAGCAAAAAAAGTTTGGGAACCACTGGTCTAAGCTAATCTGTGTTCCTGGTGAGTGTTTGATGAGTCACCTCCAGCCTTGGCTGAGCCTTTATGCTTTTCTTTAAATTATTTGCCCAAAAGAGATAAAACACAGAGCTGACTGACTGCAGCAGGTTTCTCAGATTTTCTTTCTGTTAATGCCACAGGCTGGTGCTGATTGGTCTGCTGCTTACAGAGTGGGCGCAGTAAACTCACATGAATAATTTCAGTTTCTTCTTTGAAAATGACTGCTTGATACAAACTCAGGAGCCCATCTGTCTGAAACGACTGAAGATCAAGCACGTTTGCTGAATTTACTGAGATGTTGAAGTGTGACAATTATCAGTTAACACAACTTTTCAGCTGTTTGGGGGCAGAGACAGTTTTATCCTCGGAAAAAACCTGTATGTTTGGAGGTGTTTGGTTGATTTTAAGCTTTAAGCTCAACAGGTTTGTTCCGTACTCTGTCAATCAAAACGAGAGAGCTCACTTTTCTGCTTTCAAAGGAAGATATAGCAGCAGCTACTACTGTTTACTACACTGTAAAAACCCACATGCCCTTCTCAGGACTTTAATTTGGCAATCATGTTGGCTGTGTTATAGATTGTGACATTTTGAAGGAAATTGTCCTTTTATTCACATTTTTGAACTAGATGTCATCCATAATCACTTAATCAAATTGAGCGCTTTTCAAAATTATAAAACATTAAATTGTTTTTAGGATTTTAAGCCTTTAAATGACAGCTTAGACATCTGATGTATTAATTATTTATTCAAACAAACTCACAAAAAATAATTTTCCACATAATAAATAGGATGAGGATGTGACATTGGGGTGATTAGATTTGTGGGCATGTCAAAGAACAGCAACAACATTGATTTGATTGCATTATTCTTTTTTGTGTAGTGTCTTTCGACACAAAAATGCCCCATTCACTTCTACTGAAACCACATTTTCTTATTCTCTCTTGTAATACTGTTGTAGTATAAAACCATGCATCCTGTAATGTCAGCATTTTATTTTGAAGAAAAGTTGTATTTTTTGACATTTTTACTGTATTCCCTCTGATTCAACCATTTTGCCATTGTAGACTAATGCACAAAATTCTTGTCTTTTTGCAACTGGTGTGACCACCAGGGAGCCCCAAGAGTGATTTATATGCACGTGTGTGTGAAACTACTTTTAAATCAACATCGGTTTCATTATTGAGCACATTTATTATGCAAACTGCACCAGCACTGAAAACTTTAACAACAAAAGATAAGCACAACAGAAAATATGTATAAATTTGAAACTGTGTAACTGATATCACAGGTAAATGGTTCTTAGCAATTTTCTACTCTGAGTACTGAAAGGGCTTTATTCACAGAATGTTTTTTCAATGGATGTGCTTTCAATCTTACATGCAAATCCAACCACCAACCTTCAGATTAGCAGATGACCTGCTCTACCTCCTCCAAATCTGCAAAAAACGTCACCAATGCTGTGTTTTTCTGTCAATATGGGGTGCTGTGTGTACATTAATGGCTGCAAAATAACAAAAAGTGAAAAATTTAAGGGGGTCTGAATACTTAATATTAATATTATTTTTACTATGCAGAAATCGAGAATGTGTTCAATGAAGGACAGGCTTCTCTTGGTTTTCTATCATGATGTTATCCTTCTTCTTCTTCTAACATGGCATTGTGGAGGTAAGTTGCAGAGTAATATTGAATACATTGAACATTTAACACAATGTTAACGTGGTGAGAGTTTTTGTGTATATGCGATGGGAGTGTTGCAAGACAACTGGAAGAAAGATATAAAGAAAACACCACCTGCGAAATTGCAGCCCAAGAAAAATTACCCAAATGAAGTGTAATTATATTATTTGTTTACTATACTTTATCCACAGGTCAGTCTCAGATGATTGGTCCAACTCAACCATTGGTTGCAATGACAGGGGATGACATCATTTTACCATGCCAGCTAGAACCAGCTAGGGATGTTGTTGACTTGACTGTGGAATGGTCTAGACGTGACCTTAAACCAAGATTTGTCCACTTAAAGCGGGACGATGCGGAGCTC